ACCTTAAGGGCATTATGTTGAGTGAAATTAGTCAGTCACAAAATGAAAAATACTGCATAGGACCACTAATGTAAAAGACTAAGTAAAAGAACCTATACTAATCCACTAAAGTGGATTCTTAGTTGGTTACTAGGATGTAAGGGTAGGGATAGGGGTGGGACAGGAAGGTGGAGCACAGGGCAGGTTATAGACACAGGATAATTTGGGTATTGGGTAGGGGGGCAATATACAAGTAGGGAGAGGGGACTCAAAGAACAAAGCAGATGGGAGAACAATTAGACAGGTACGAATGGGCTAAATGGGACAGAGGTAAAAAATCATGTAGGCACAGCTTTGGAACAACAGGGCTCTGGAATACAGAGACTGAGACATGGATGGAATGGGGAATAGGGGGGAATAATGTTAAGATGCTTGGCTGCCTTTTGAATCATGGTTTTCCTTGCAATATATTATAAAACAGACACTGGAGGGGTAGAGAAAGGAATAACCAGAAATGTCAACATGGAAAGCTTGTAAGCCCATCCTCTGCCTATAACTGATTAGAATACCTAAAATGGGGCTACAATGTGTCCAGTGAAAGAGGTTTCCTGAGGAGCCTCTGCATTACATGGGAGTAATAGGTGGAAGCCCAAACCACATCAAGACCTATAGAGAAGGGAAATTCTCCACTTGAAAGGACAAGCAGACCAGCCAGGAGCAGCTAGAAAACCAGAAGATACCTCTTGAAAGAAGGACCTACAGGAAAAATACAAAACAATAAGGGCAGTCCGACTGTTACCACAAGAACATGTAGGTTGCTTGCCCAGGAGACATCAAGTAAAGTGGTCGGGTCTTCTCAGTGCAAATTCTCTTCTAAGACTAAGACGCAAGGGAAAATATACGCTTTGATTGACAATCACGCACGTCACCCAGAAGGGGAAGTGACCGAAGAACATCAACGAAGTGGCGAGCTAAACCCTACATTGTTCAGCAAACTACTGTGAACCCGAGTGGAGACCTGGTCGGCCAGCAGTGAGGCAAGACCTGGGGACTCATGGGCTCAGAGTCAATGTGACACAGCCACAGAGGACTAGAATGGAGAGCGGGGCGGCCAGCCGATAAAAAGAGGGCGGACAGACTCAAGAACACCCACACTTGCTGATTATGCCCACTTGAACTGGCTTCAATGACTGGATAAACAAAGCTCAACCCGAAGAAGAAAGAAGAGGTAAAAAGTGTCATCTGATACTATTTGATGGACATGACCTATACCTATAAACACAGTAGCTCAAAAGAGGAAACAAATCCCTGCTGCAAGAACTATTCCCATCCCCTCCACACAAAGGGTAGACAGGGATGGGCAACTTGGACATTGGCTACCCAAAATGGGGGGAAGGATACAAAGGTAAGAAGTGACTGGCTTACAAGTTTTCAAGAGGGAACCTAGATCCAAAGGGCGTGGAGGAAGGTAGAGTCTCCAGTGAATAGTGTCCAGCCTGTCCAGGAAGGACTGATGAAATGAAATACAGATGGGTCTCTTGTGATACAATAGTGAATAATTGTTATCAGGACTGATTGTGAGGGTTTGACATCTAAAGGTAGACATTTTGTATCAAGGAGGGGAGTGATTAACTTTTCAGTCTAGGAGCGGAGGACCCTAGGACCATCAATGGAGAAAAGCGTAGAGTGGGATCCTACCCAGAGAAGCAGTGAGGCCTGAGATGGAGGCAGAGAAGACGATGTCAAGAGATGGTGTGGCTGGGGACCCGGGATCAGGAGATGGAAAGGGGCTGAGGACTGTGAAGGGGGTGGGGGCAGGCTTACAGGGTACACCCTTTGGTTGGATGAGGATGCATGGACGGGATAGTAAATATGCCAATGAAACGATAGATGATAGAATGAATGCAAAACTAATGTTCTCCCATGTAGACTATCACACAATTCACAATAAAACATTTATTTAATAAAAAAAAGTCAATGTAACTTCCCCCCATTTTGCAAAGCTGAAAAATATCACTACCCAAAGCCCCCTTTTTAGTGAATTTGAGGCCACTGTTACAAACGTGTCCCTCACTCACAGGGACTTCGGATTGCTTCACTACCAAGCGCTCAGTGAGCCTTTCAAGATGCACCAGAGATGATTCTCCAGTCTATTTTTATTCTAATAAAAAGCTGTTCTGGGCCCTCTGCCAAATACCCAATATCTTTTGTGTAATTCTACATATGATTTCATTTTTCTCTACACTATCTTCAGCACTGTTGTTGTTAAGTGCCCTCCAAACGATTCAGATTCACAGCGACCCTGTGTAGGGTTTCCAAAGAGTAGGTGATAGGTTTGAACTGCTGACCTTGAGGCTAGTAGTCCAGTGCTTATCTTGTAGCACCACATCAGGACTCCTGGTCACCACTGTTGTAGTTAAGTGCTGTCCAGTGAGTTCTGACTCATAGCGACCCTATGTAGGGTTTCCAGGGAACAGCTGGTGAGTTTGAACCGTTGATTTTGCTGTTCAAATGGTCCTTATGGATAAGAGCTTAGCCTACCGTACCACACCAGGACTCCTGGTCACCGTAAGAGGAACAATGAAGAACCAGCATTGACTATCAGGACATTTGTTGTTGTGGTTGTTGTCAAGTGCCGTCGAGTCGACTCTGACCCATAACAACCCTGTATAGGGTTTCCAAGGAGCAGCTGGTGAGCTTGAACCACCGACCTTGCAGTTCAAATGGCTTTGGAGTCTGGCACATTAACCCACAGCACCACACCAGAACTCCATCAGGACACTTAGCTATGATTATTATTTCTTATGTGAAGAAAGAAAGCATTGCTACTTGGGACACTGGAATATAGTATGACAACTGCTTATTCTCTGACAGGTGGGACTTACCAGGAACTGAACAGAGAGAAGTCCCGATCCTTCAGCCAGTAAGTTACCTTCTGTTAAACAATCCCACTCTCCCTCCATTCTGCTCCACAACTGAGATTTTGCCCTTTGGGTTTTTTGATAGTTTAGTATCACAATATTAATGGAAAACAGGTTAAGAGAAAATAGACCACAATTCAAGTTTTTCAAATTTTGGTGGCATAAAGACTAGAAATAGTACAGTTCATCAGAAAAAAACAGGGAGAGAACTGGAGCTTCATAGTCAAATAAGATCAACAACTGAGAGCATCTGAGAAAAAGAGACCCCAGTTGGGGTTCAGTTGGCCAATCGGAACAGAGATGTTAGCTGACAGAGATGGACACCCAAAAGGAAGGACAGATATACAGGAAATACCAACTATCTTGCACACAAGGTATTGCCAGTCTATTTTAAACCCCAGGGCCCTTACCCGGTACTTCTTTTCCTGTTCAAATTTTTCTTCATATTTCCGAATTTTCCGTTTGAGGCTCTGGATGTGCTTTGTGAGTTGGGTAATGGTTTGTGGCTCCTTGCCATCCCCACAGCTGCATCGGGAAGAACTTCGGGGCCTATGAAGGTTAAAGGGCAGCAAAGAGCATGAAGAACAATGATATTCCCACAGACTCTGCAGGTCCAACCAAGTTCCCTGGGTTATCAGAGAAATCTAAAGGCTGGTGCATTGTGTGATGGGTCTAATAGCATCTGTTCCTTAATGGTGACCCCTGGTCAGAGAACTTCATGAGTGGATACACATGTCATATTATTAGTCCAGGAAACCAATTTCCTAAACCCGACAGGAGACCTAAGTAAATTCAAAGAGAGGCATCTCTAATGGATTACGTGGGCCCCGTCTACCAACATTTTCATGGAGGATTTAGGTGAGTCCTTAACTCTCTTTAACTTATAAGAGCCTTTGAAAATCTGATGGGTCCTGTCTCCGAAATAAAAAAAATACATATCCCTCTCAAATGCACACAACTGCACATGGAATAATAACTCAATTATTTATTCAGACTACGAACCCAGATTTGGATAAATTCATGAATAACAACATGAATTATTTAGAGAAACCAGATATGCCCTAAATATATTTTTAGCCAATGGATTTTCAACTTGAGTTGTTAGTCAAAAATAGTTGCAGAATTTAGGGGTGGGAAAACAGGAGTACATTTCTCATTCCCACTCAATCCAAAATGCAAATTCCAAGTAGAATGTTTGGGAATTTTAGGAAGCCAATGTGATTCACTATTTTTCTTCACTCTGAGGGCCCGAGGTAGGCAAATCCCAAGCATTTCCACCATCTACCCATTGAGGCTGCTGTTGGAAGAGGGACAGAACATTGAGCTGCTCAAGAAACTTATTCCAGATGTTCACCATTATACAGCATCCTACTTAGAACGCTGGTGATCTCACCAAAAGCATTCCAATATGGAGTCTTTGGGTAAAACCCTGCTATCTCAGGACCACGTTCTCCTGTCTACTAACACAGCATTTCCGACTAGAAATTACACTGATTTGTCATTTATTCCTTAGGACTTGGAGTTGCGTTTGTATGCATGCTTTCACTCTTTAGGAGACACGCACTTCACTGCAGTTTGCAAAATACTTGAAAATCTTTATGAAATGAAAATAATCACAAAACTAGGTATACTTACATCATAAACTGTTGAGTGCTGGGTGGGGATGGGGCAGACTCAGGGTCTAAGTTGAATCTCTGACTTTGGCTGAAGATGGAGCATCGTGGTGACAACAGCGGATGGTCCCCATCTGTTATGTGATACAGCAGCCTGCTGGGGCCAAAAGACTGGTGGTCTTCCAGCCCGTCATCAGCTTCCTTCTGCCAGTCTTTTTGGAGTGGTGTGCAGTCTGGGGAAGCAAGATAAATCAAGACTCAGAGGTGACAGAGAGTTTGTGACTGTCATGTTGCTAAATACAGATCATAAACATTCATTATAATATCTTGCCTCTTTGTCATTTCTTCCTCTTGGGGACACAAAAGGCTTTCAGGGTACTGTCATATTTGTTCTCACAAAACCTGTATAGAAACTATAACCAAGTCATCAAGTACGAATGGAAACACAAATGATCTCTATTTCTTGTTAATTACATAGGTTGGAGAATATATTACAAAAAAAAAAAAAAGCTAACAGTAAATAAAAAGAAAATATGGAGCTGAAACAAAAAATCAGATTATAAGGAAACAAAGGAATACTGAATTGCAAAAGATGGGCGGGACGGAAGAGAGGAGAGTATGAGGAAGTAAATGAATACTTAATTGCAAAAGATGGGAAGGAGAGAGGGAGGGTAAGGGAAGAGAGAACAAAGATGGAAAAGGGGAAAATGACTGAACTGTGCTTATCAACATGGAATGATGTTCAGAATGAAAACCACATGATTCTGACAAGTATTGGGCTGGACAACTAAGGATCACAGTGGTACATTCCAAATTGCCAAACATCTGTGTTGGTTTTAAAAGTTAAATAACCAAAAACATACCCATGATTCACATGAGACTTCAGCATCAGGGTTCTTGGCCAGCCTATGTTAGGCCAAGTCACAGGGAAGAAACAGTGCCACACATAAAAAAATGGCTACTCCTTCCAAAGAAACTAACAAAAATAAATCAAAAACCATCTATTGGATCTATGATAGATACATAATGAATTCTTACTATAAAACATAGAATTAGTAACGATTCTATTTTCTTCTTCAAACGTTTATGTAGAGTTTTATTTTAGGCCCAAACCAAGCGAAAACCTGTTCCAAACTCTCTCCCCAGCTAGCCAACTTTGTGCTGAAGGGAAATCTCACTGCTAACAGAACCCTTACATTTCAGCTAAGAAAACAGGCACCCTGGTGCTATGGGAGGTGGATGGGTGGGGAGTGGGCCAGGTCAGGAGAGAAATATCAGAACATTTCACCTCAGGGTGGCCTGAGTGAGAGTCTGTCATTCCGGGGCTCTAAAAACATTATTCAAGAAGCAGCCAAAACAAACTCCTTCCTTCTTAGTTTTGCTCAGCAAACATGTCTGGACAACCTAACTTGTCTACTTCCCTAAAGGAAGACGAAAACAAAAATTATCTAAATGAAGAAGCAGAATCTGAAAATAATGACAATCCAATTTTCCCAAAATAAACACAAATCCTAATTTGCTAACCAATGACTCTTTATCAGGTGTAGAATGGCTCTGCTCTCTATAACTTGAAATACAATTTGCTGTGTAACATCAAAGGTCTGACAAGCTCCGTGTGGCTTTTCAATCAAGATAGATAAGTCTCTGAAGTTCTTTGATGTCACTTCCGCTGGTAGCTGACACCTGTCAGAAATGGATTTCAGCGTCAGTGTCTCAGGATCACAGGGAAAGATCACCATGGCAACACCCTTGTTATGAATAATTTACTTAGAAAACACTATGGTTTGTCAGAAACCCTATGGAGCAACAGGAGTAATAGTTACTACCAAAAACATCACAGCTTTTACTAACACATCACCTTCAAAATCCACCAAGAGGTTTATTATGTTCTTTGCCCAATTATTTTCTTACCAGTAGACCCAAAAAAGAAACACAGTTTATTCATGCTCTTTTTTTGTGTTTCAAGCGTCTTCTGGCAATAACAATGCAAAAGAACAGACCCTTTAACAAGCATCTGGGATCATCACCATCATTGTAAACTGTCATTAAACTGACTCTGGACTCATGAGGACCCCAGGCACAGCCAGTTGGACCCCGGTGATCCTAAGGCTTTCCAATGGCTGATTTTCAGAAGTAGATTGCCAGATACATCTTCCTAGTCTTAGTCTGAAAACTCCACTGAAACCTTTACTCAGCATCATAGTTACAAGCAAGCCTCCATAAGTACTGGCTGCCCTTCAGGTGGGTTGGGTCAGGAATCAAACTGGTTTCTCACCTTCCTTGATCTATCAAGGAGGGCGAAAATTCTACCACTGAATACCATTGCCCTCTGGAACCAGAATGCTTTCACTTCAATGAGATAGGTTTGAGTCCTTCCGCCTTCAGTTTAACAGAGGCCCCAGGTCTCAAAGGTTTCCCTTAATACTGGTTTATAGCAACAATTCAGACCCTATGAAGTTAAACTAGGGAAGAGCCCAGCTTCTGAAGCCCGCTTCACAAAATTACAGATTGTTAATTGCTCTTTCAGAATTGTGTTGTTTTTAAGTGTGGCGGGTTGATTCAACCCCCGTGCGGGTTGAACCTGCACGGGGGTTTCAGAGGAGTGGCAGGTGAGCTTGTATCAATGACCCTGTGGTTCAAAACAAACTTGCAGTTCAGCGCCACACTAAAACGCTGTATTGTAATAGGAGCTGTCAAACTCTACTCACACAGTACGTTTTCCTTGGACACACATTATTTACCAGTGCTAACATCCCTGACCACTCCCCCTTCCCAAATTCACCACAGAAGGACACAATGAGCCGGAAAGATCCCAAAACAACCAATTGAAAAGCAGCAAATTGCCAAGCACTGTAATCTGATGGTGCCTAATTTTTTTTCTTGAAATTTGCCATCTGAGTTGAGACTAAGCTTAATTAACTCAGATGGCACATGTACATGTATGTGAATTTATGTGGACAGAGTTACTGAGCTGCATGACCAGAAGAACCCAGTATCAATTCCGAGCCGGCCAACATTGCTGCTGCCCTAGAAAAAGTGCCCAGGCCCACTCGCTCCCACGCTGGACCCTAACAAGGCAGTTTTTGGCAATATTAAACCCTGTTGGTTTTTGAAAATTCCCTGGAGCACTTAGTTTTTATTCCAAAGAGATGGGCAGCTTGCCTAGGCCCATCCTATAATATAGCGTGATTTAGAGGAAGGAACCAGCAGTCCTGGTTGTCTACACTTTCTGATGGGGCACCAAGCACAGTTCCTAGACCTTTAGCTTCCTAGTGTGGCCCATCATACTCACAGGGTCATGATTAAACAATAGTAATAATAATAAGGAGCTCTGGTAGCGTAGTGGTTACGAATCGGGCTGCGAACCTTAGGGTCAGCAGTTCGAAACTACCAGCTGTTCTGCGGGAGAAAGATGAGGCGTTCTGCTCTCGTAAAGATTTACAGCCTCGGAAACCCTGTACAGGGTCGCTATGGGTCGGAACCGACTCGACAGCACTTAACAACAACAACAACAATAATAAAACATGGAGACAACAAGCAGGAAAGCACTCCTGAGAAAGGAGTTAGAAATAACTCAAAGTGTATCACAATCGAGAAGAAAGTTTGTAAGTGTGAAACCTAGGTCCTACTACTTGTTAGGCTTTCTGGTGTGATGCTGTAAGATAAGCACTGGTTTGCAAAGTTTCTTTGAACCACAAGACCTGCAGTTCATACTCATTAGCTGCTTCTTGGAAACCTTATATAGGGGTGCTAGGAGTTGGAACAGACTCAATGGCACTTAATAATAACTAATACTTGCTATGGAGGACTTTAGAAATGACAGAGCTTTTAAACATCAGTTTCTTCATCTGTAAAATGGGCAGAATGGTGGTACATCTGCCTCATAAGTCTAAGTGAGGATGAATGAAACAAAGCTGTCTCCCCTATATTTTTTGTCATAGCCACATAAACCTTTTTTAAAACTATACATACATTATACGCACATTAATTTGATTATTAGATTACATATATTTAAACTTCAACACAATTTTTTTAAAATTTCAGTTTCTTCTTAAGTGATGATATATAAGAAATCATGAGTTTGTGGTATAGGTTATGTTTCTTTCTAATACACATGAAAATACATTCCTTGTAAGACTATCTTAACTCATATGCCCAATTACATCTTACTTTACTTGGTAAAACATTAAGACAAGATCAAAAACTAGTTATCACAGTAACCCTAAGAATCATAACTACAATTATTGCTATTGTGAAATTACAGAGAACGAATCAATCTTAAAAAATTCCTAGGAAGTTAACATAGAAACTGAGAACCAATATATTCTCAACACATCCCTCCAATCAGTTCTTTTACCACTTAATACCTGTGACACATCATCACTTTCACCCTCAGTTTCCTAATCTGTCAAATGGGTATTCATTCAAAAAATGTTTATTAGCTATTTGCTGCATGTCACATCCTATTTTAGATGGAAATAAAAACAGTGCCTATGTCATAAATTGGTGGGAGAATTTATAAAGATAAAAAATGTCAATACTTAGAGAACAGTGCCTGGAGGAGAAGGAGGGCATTGATAACCACAAACAAATGTTAGTTATTGTTTTGTATTTTTGTTGATACAGGCCACCTGGTTAGGGAACTGGGAAGTAGAACCAGCTAGGGGAAGGAAAGATGAATAGTTTAAGCGATACTTTTGCGTATTCTGGTGGAGGTGCCCAGCAGGCCCTGAATATACATACGTAGGTCAGTATATCTGGAGAGAAATCTGTGTTGAGCGTCAGCACATGTTTCTCCACCCCCGCTTCTGGAGTGAGTCTCATTTTCATTTGGAAGGAGCCAAGGGCCCTAGGTTTGCTGAGCAATGAGAGTTTCCAAAATTCCTTCTGAAAGCCAGAAAGCTACATGGACCCAGAAGCTCAGTCCAAATCTACATTGTAAAGCGGGGCATCAATTTTTTGGTATGGCACAGGACTGCTAATCACAAGGTTGGTGGTTCAAACCCACCAGCTGCTCCTTGAAAACCCTATACTGGATCGCCATGAGTTAGAATCAACTCGACGGCACTTACCAACAACATAAATGAAATTAAGCCGAGCCATCACAACTATACCTAATATACTGTTGTTAAGGGCCGTAGAGTCGGTCCCAACTCATAGCGACCCTGTATAGGGTTTCCGAGGAGCAGCTGGTGAGTTTGAACCATCAACCATGCGGTTCGGTGTTAATTCT